AATTCTTTTCAAGGTGAGCTCTAGCCCTGCAGGAGAAATGGCAGCTCAGAACTTCCCCTCTGTGCTCTCTGCTGGCAAGGAGTTTTGTTTTAAGGGGTCAGCATTCTACCAGCTCATGCAGCTGCACATGTTGACCCAGCTTCACACAGAGAATTGCTTCCATCTCCGCAACCTTGATGCATAATCATCACAGTGTTGAGGCTTCTCACTGCAAGCATGTTGTGAAGGGAGGTTCCAAGTCAACGGTGCTGCTCTTGAGAAGAAGAAGAGATTGGATTTATACCCCGCCCTTCACTACCCAAAGGTGTCTCAGAGCGGCTTACAAACTCCTTTCCTTTCCCCTCCCCACAACAGACAACCCTGTGAGGTGGGTGGGGCTGAGAGAACTCTGACACAAAGTGCTCTTTTTCAAGGACAGCTGTGCCAGAGCTTGTGACTGACCCAAGGTCACATCAGCAGATGCAAGTGGAGGAGTGGGGAATCAAACCCGGTTCTCCCAGATTAGAGTCAGCACACTTAACCACTACACCAAACTGGCTCTCTTCAACAAGACAACGAGGGGAGTAAAAGGCACTCTGGCTTCCTGCTGCAGATAAGGTTAGCAACTGACCTGGAGAAAAACATCCCGTCTTTTTAGCAGAGATGCAATATGTGGAAACAGGCAGGAGAAGTTTCCCGTAGCCTGTGGAGGTAAATCGCAATGCCTGGTACTTGCTACAGATCAAATGGATATTATGCTTCTGTTGAAGAGGACAGTTTTCTCCAAGCCAACTAAGAACCGTAACTGCACAAGCCTGCTCCGAGCCAACTGGTGGAGATCTGAGCAGGCATCTATATCAGGGAAGTCTACACGCCCTTCATTTCCCTCTCTGTTTTTTTGCTCTGTCTCCAGCACATGGCAGTGAGCAAGATGGCACAGGAGCCAGGAGAGGAGCAGGCTGGCTGTGGAGAAGAGAGTCTAACCCTACCACGCACACACGGTTGCCAACTGGCTCTTGGTGGGAGGGGGGCTTGCAATGTTGGTGGTGGAGTTTACTGTTTTTTCTCTGCCAGGGTAAGAGCACAGAGGATGTGAAGCTGAAAAACAGGGGCTGCAGAGGTGAGCAAACCAGCAAGGATGCTGCTGCTGGGCCAGTGAAGGGCAGTTACTCCAAGGGGCAAAATATACAGATCTCTCTGTATGTCACTGGATTTGATTGTGAGATATACTATTTAAAAACAAGCAATGTAACAGTTGGTAGGGGGATGCTGCAGCCTTGCATGAAGAAGAGACTGGATTTATACCCCCCCCTTCACTACCTGAAGAAGTCTCAGAGCAGCTTACCATCTCCTTCCCCTTCCCCTCCCCACAACAGACACCTTGTGAGGTGGGTGGGGCTGAGAGAGCTCTGAGAGAACTTGTAACTGACCCAAGGTCACACCAGCAGCTGCAGGTGGAGAAGTAGGGAATCAAACCCGGCTCTTCCAGATTAGAGTCCGCACTCCTAACCACTACACCAAACTGGAGTTGTCCTCCATCAGGAGAGAGGACAGGCCCTTTTGGCCACTCCCACCCGTACCAGTCCTCCGGTCTCTCTGGCGGTGGCTTATTCAATGCAGGAACCAGCTCCCAACCAAATCCCTCCCAAGTGAAGGCCCCACCTGTTTTCCTATAACACAAGAAGGGAGCTGAGAAACTGCTTTGTTTAAAAGAGCTTCAGGAGGCCTCTTGAAGAGCCACGTGTGACCCACAAGCCCCGGAGTGAGCATCACTGCTGTACGGTTTGGATGTCCCCTGGCAGAGGACCCTCGATTAAACACAATGGAGGGGGGGGGAACAGCATCAGTTTCTCATCATCCTAGCAATTTAGGAAGAAATGAATTCAGAAAGAGCGGCTGCACAGTTTTCACAGGAGATTGTGGGTGTCCTGCTCTAATGCTACTGTTGGGATCATCACAGCCCCACCTGCTTGCATGTAGGAGCAGCAGGCTGGACACATACAGCTGCTAGCAAAGACTTCTACATATTCAGTTGCAGAAAAGCTGGCTTAAGGGAACAAACAGAAGTGGGACCACAGCTGGGTGCATGGGGGGAGCAGAGTACAGGAATGTGCCATACCCCTCCTCTGAAATCTCAACACTCATTTTTTTTAAAAACACACCTCAACTCCTTTTTACTTACGAAGATATAAGGGGAAACGTGCAAGCAGTTTCTCACCCAATTGCTTTGCAACAGATGTGGTCGCTGCAAGACTGCACTGGAGTCAGCTAATCCCTGCCCTAATCACGTTCATTCTTCTTTCTTAGCTGCCCTGCTCCATAACACTGTCTTCTTTCTTGCCTGCTTCCTCTCCTCTTTTAACATCAGCAGCGGGCAGAAAAATCTGAGTGAGATTTATTACTATTTTTTAAACTGCATCCTTAAGTTTGCAGTAGGAAATCTGCTTCAGGAGTAGGTGGGGCCATGAGGGAGGGCGGAGTTCGATTAATACCCAGTCAGTGTCACCCTTCGCTGCGACTCATGTTGGTGAACGAATGCGAGCACGTGTAGAACGTCTTATTCATCAAAGTATAGACATTGTCATGACCCAGCCCTCACCATCCCCCCCCCATTCTATGATGAGGACTAAAGGCCCAAGGAGGCATAAGAGCCTGCTTTTCTCAAGCCCCACCACCTTTCACTACAAAAAAGTAAATTCTTTGGGAAGGTCTAAAGAAATCTGAGCTATAGATAATCCCTTCTCTGAATGCCAAGACCATGAACAGGTGAAAGGGTATTCTGGGCCTGTGTACAGAACCTTGCAGGGATTACACAATACCCATGATATTACAATACCCTGATATTACAGGATACATTTCAGAACTAGAGGAAGATGCAGTTCCGCAGTCTCGAAGTTTAGTAATCAAGAAGCTTATTAATAGCTGTCTTCTCCCCCTCCAACACAGTTTTGCATGTTATTCTGCACTCTTACACTGTGCAACATCTTGAGAGGCGCCCCAGTTAAATCGACGAAGGGCTTTTAGTAGGACAATAAGCAAAATCACTTTTGCCTGGAGAGTGGCGGATACTTTTTTGCCTACCTGAGGAACTGGTTATTTTGTGTGTTTTGTACACTGTAAGCTACCTTGGGTCTAGGTGGTTTGGAGAAAAGCAAGTTAGAAGCACTCTAAATAAATAAAGGACACAGCTTCTCAAATCCCAAAACCATGATTTTCAGTGCTCTTAGTGTGCATTTGCTGTGATTTCACAGCACTACACTCCTACACAGAAGCTAAGCTTCTTAAAAAAAATTTAATTAAGAAATCATTAGCAATAGATGAAAATAAATTCCCAAAGAAAGCATGCAGCACAGCATTTTATAGACTGACGCTGTATGGCTGGCTGATATTCTCTAGCACTGCATGGATTTATTTATTTATTTATTTAAGGCATTTTTACCCCGCCCTCCCCGCAAGTGGGCTCAGGGCGGCTTACAGGGGCCTGGCATCCATGTAAGCAAACCCCTGAAGCCTTCTTAGGTGCGCTGTTTCTGCACTGCCATTCTTCCAAAGCTTAGAGCCTCTCAGCTAACTATGAGGTTGCTGGAGTTAACATTGTTACTTCCACTGATGAAGCTACTTTGAGAGCCAGTGTGGTATAGTGGCTAGAGCAGGGGTGTCAATCAGTGTTCCCTCTAAGCTGAGTTAGTGTGAGCTAGCTCACAGTTTTTTAGCCTCCAGCTCACAGATTTTTGTCTTCGCTCAGGAAGGACGGCTCCAGAGCAAATTAATTTATGCAGCAGCCAAATCGCTCACTCACAACTTTAATGCCCAGTAGCTCACCAAGTAGAATTTTTGCTCACAAGACTCCACAGCTTAGAGGGAGCATTGGTGTCAATCTGATTTAAATGAGACCTTGTTGGGCCGGGCCATGTGTGTCATAAAACGTAAAGCCAGGTAGCGGAGATATAAACTTTATAAAGGACACAAACATAAAGATTTTTTTACTTAAGATAAAAACATGTTTAAAACATTAGCTCTGTAAGCGGCAAACCTACTTTTGATTTATTGACATTCACCACAGAAATCTCACGCTCAGAGTTCTGAATCTAGGACCCAGGTTAAAATATGAAATGACTGAGTGATTAAGAGAGAGTCTGGCAAAGCAAGCTATGATGCAGCAGCAGCAGAACCGGAAGCAGGAGATGGCCAGTTCCACTGCGGGCCTGATGGAAGCCCTCTGGGGGCCTGATCTAGCCCCGGGGCCACATGTTTGACACCCCTGGGCTAGAGTATCAGACTCGGATCTGGGAGACCCAAGTTCAAATCCCTACTCTGCCCTGGAACCTGGCTGGGTGACCTTGGGCCAGTCACACATTCTCAGCCTAGCCTACCTCACAGTGCTCTTGTGAGAGTAAAATGGAGGACGGAATGATGTAAACCCCTTTGGGTCTCCATTGGAGAGAAAGGCAAGGTATAAAAGGAAGTAAATAAATAAACACGGCTCTGAATTGGAACAACTGTAGAACCAAACAGATTTACTAATTGATTTGCTTCATAATCTATGTTACAGCTACCAATCTGCTGCTGAGCTCAGTCCAGTGGGCCGGCATTAACCTTTAAAGATATCAATGGCCTAGAACCCAGCAGGTAAGGATCACCTGTTTCCAAGACTCTGTTCCTTCTAAGACCAGCTCAAGGTCTTTATGAGCAACCACTCCTATGCGCAAGACAAATCTGTGAGAAACTGGGTCTTTTAAGTGGTCGCACCTGCCTTATGAAATCAGCTCCCCATAAAAGCTTAGGCAAGCGATGTCACTACTTTGTTTTAAAAAAAAAATGGTAAGAACTTGAATTTTAAGTGCCATCTTACAAGTACGAAGGGAGTGACATAATGTTTCTGGCAGGTGCTTTTGAACTTACTTTCCCCCCCCAGGACTGATGTTGACTTTGCTGCTTTATTCTACACAGCAGAATTTTTATTCGATTGCATTGTTTTATGATGATGGAAGCAGTTTCGGCACAAAAGAAGGTAGATTATAAAACAAACAAATATTTATACAGTCTGGACAGTGTAGCGCTCTTATATCACATATTCACTTTTTGATCTGGGAAGCTCTGTTCTGTAATACCCCGGTTTACACAACTCCCTGTTTCTTTATTAACTTTCCCGAAGGCTTTATAGCACACTGGACTTGAGGGAGAGGTAAGGACTTTTACGCAAGACTGCTGTGAGAATAAAACGGAGGAAAAGGAGGACAAGGTAAGCTGCTTTGGGTCCCCACTACGGAGAAAGGAGGCCAGTAGAAGTGTTTGGGAGCCACATTAGGCAATGGCATGGCGGACTCCAGATACGCACCAAAGCAGACTTTTTAAAAAACTTCTCCCAGCCTTTGAGCCTCCGCCTCTTGAACTGTGGGTTTTTGAAACCTGAGCCTTCTGAATCTGCCATTAACTATTTAAATGTTGCAGTAAGGTGGCTGCTGTCCAAAAAGGAGGCGGCGAAGCCCTAGAGGTGCCTTCTGGATTAGGCCAGCCAGCCTCAGTTTACAGACCATAACAACTCACAGCTTTGGAAGTATGCAGGTACTGGGAGACCATCTCTCTCTTGATGCCGATGTCCTTCTCCCTTAGAGGTTGCTGTTTCTCTTCATTCAGATTCATATCCAGCTACAGAAGGAAGCCAGAGAAAACATCCTCTTTACCAAAGAAGAGTCTCATCCCTTAGACAAAAGCAACACATGTCAAAATCTCAAGAAGGGAACATGCTGACTTCTCTACAAGATTCACCCACTCTCTCTTCTCCAAATGGACCCTACATTTAGGTGTGTTTTTGGTGTTGTTGGGGAGGGGACAATTCAACTGAGGAGACGAGAAGTAATTCTACCATCTCCGAGGCCCATTAAACCAAACATGAGACTGCTAGTAGACAAACCACAGGGTAAAGGGACATGCTCTTCTCTAGCTAAGACTGTACTGCTTTAGGCTCTGTGCTGGAAAACCTCCTGCCCCCTCTAAGGGGGGCACCTGGGAAGTTCTGCTCTAGTCCTGCCAGTTCTCAACTGCTTCATGGCCCCGCTCCATGTCACAGAGGTCTCTGTGTTTCATAAACACATCATGACGGGCCCTCTCGCAGTTTGGAAAGGCAAGCATCGACTCCCTAACTTCCATTGCCTGCCCCCCACCCAACACTTAACCAGGAGCAGAAACTTACCAGCATCTGTTCAAAGAGCATCAGCACATCCTCGTCCGAGATTTCCTGCAGCATCTGACCTGCGCCGGAAACTTCCGAGTAGGTAGCAGAGGAATTCCTATGAGCCACACTGGGCTTTTCTTTCTCCTTCTTTATCCTCATGCTCGTCAATCTCTCCAGCTGATTACGGAAAAGGGAATTAAAAAAAAAAAAGAACAACAACACTCAGCTTCCATTCATATGACCATACCCAGTTCGGTGAACGACTCCATGTTGTGCACACTGGTCAAAGTTTATTTGGCCGCGATGGAAATGCAGAGAGGGAGAAGGGGAAGAGTGATAATTGCAGAGTCTATGAAAACAAAATTGGGCTCGCGAGCAGCTTAAGCTAGGGGGAATGCGCAGGCAAAGAGGCGCGTTGGGCAGGCGCTGCAAGCAGCAGGTGACGACCCTTGTAGCTTGTGATACGCAGGTGTCACTCGTCCTTTCCTTGAAGGACCATGAACAGCAGCCAATTTAAGGCTTACAAAGCTTCCCAAGGAATCAGCAGAGACCAAGAACATTCGGCCCAGAGAAGGCCCAAGCCAGCAACAAGGAGACATGACCATGCAGAAACCAGCCTTCTCAACAAGATGACAGAAAGAGACATGACCATACGGAAACCAGCCTTCTCAACAAGATGACAGACTGCCAGTTTAGCCAATGGTAGCACAAAGGAGGAAGGCGGAGATGGCCACATGCCTCAGCCCAGAGAAGCAACTGGACCCTCCCCCAAGCAAATACTTTGGCACAAGGCAGCACGTCCACAGCAGGGAGGAAGGCAAGCAACACAGTACAGGTCAGAGGCGAGCATTACAGCACAGAGGAGATGGCGCGCAGAACTCATTGGGAGGAAAGATAAGGACAGAGAATACCGAAGAAAATAAATTAAGAATCATCCTTACCTCATCTGCCATCACCCGCTTCAGATTCTGTGATTGGGGAGAAAGGAGGAAGGAGAGGCGAATCAGTGACACGAGAAAAATCCAAGAATGGAAAGAGAAAGGGGTCGGGTGGGGGTTAACGGAAAGCGGGTGCTACTGATCTCCACCTTGAGAAAACAACTGAATCAACACCTCTCAATGCTACACCCGTGAGATCTGATGCGGGAACTGAGACTCAAGGGAACTTTTCGACCAGCCTGTAGTCCAAACAGGAGCCAGCAGAAGGCCTGGACCCTGAAGGTTCACTGATTGCAGTTTTTGTATAGAAGCATTTCGGGTGGCAAGCAATGCTCCTCTAAGCTGTGGAGTCTCGTGAGCAAAAGTTCTGCTTTGTGGGCGACTGGCATTAAAGTTCTGAGCGAGCCATTTGGCTGCTGCATAAATCAGTTCGCTCTGGGGCCATCCTTCCTGAGCTGAGACAAAAATGTGTGAGCCGGTGGCTTAAAAAACTGTGAGCTAACTCACAATAACTCAGCTTAGAGGGAACTCTGGTGGCAAGTGCAAAGGGTGTTTTGAGAGCTAGAAATCTACCAGGTGCAGGAGCTTAGCCAAAGAGATCAGCTCAGAGGAATGACACGCCCCTTCTTCAGAGTGCTCAGTGCAAGGGGGCTTGCTGGGAAACAATTCACATTGAGACTGGCAAAGGAGTAAACCAAAGTGGAGCTTGTGGGCACCATGGCAGCCGCTAACACCTCTCCTGGCACCCGCCGAGCGTTTTTAGAAAGGGGGGGGCATTGGGGCTTTTGCCCAGCAGGGCTCCTGACTGGCCACCAGAGATCTGTTTGGCTGGGCAGATTTTTTTGTGCACAATGATCTTCACTGTGTGACTAAAGGTGTATGCAGGAAAGACATTTTTAAGTAATATAGTCATTTATGTTCATTCTGTAAAACAGAGCTTCTGCCTGAGATGCTGAAGAGCTGCTATTAGAGCTATGCATGGCCCTGACATTTCGTGGTTGGTCCCGCCCCTTGCAGCATCCATTTGCAGCTGCACCCACCACCTTGTGTTAGACTTCCAAAGGTGCCTGCAGGCTGAAAAGGGATGGTGGAGGGGGGGCCATGGCAGAAGGTGTGGCAGACAGCACTTAGAAATGAATCCTTCTGTTGACAATGGGTTCAACTGCAGGAAAGAGTTCACTTAGCAGCACCCACCAGCTCAGCGTTCGTAACAGCAGGCACACCCTGATTTCTCTGCCACCACCCAAATGGTGATGGTGCATGATGTTGGGAAATGAACTAATTTATGGTTTTATATCTGCTACACACACACCACACATGGACTGTGCACACATCTGTATACCATGAGCAAAAGGAAGCTGTTTGCATCACCTACTGTGAGGGACTTCACATAGGGAACCCTTGCCTGCATTTTATGTTAAT